TTACAATGTCCAAGTAGAGGAGAGAAATTATTATCATCGATATATGGAGCGTCTGTGGAACGAATCGAGAAGCAGAAGTCATGGTTGATGTCACAGTGCTCTTGATACCATGTTAGAGTTCTGTCATGGAGGAGAGAAAAACAGAGAAAGTGTTTATCTGTATTGATGCATAACAGAACAGAGTACAACAAATGAATAAAGTGTCTTAATATAGACACTATTACAACTGTTAAAAATAAGGATTTACGACCATTTATTATTTCCCTTTAAGGCCTGTTTTTTTCCATATATGACTAATCTTGTATGTGACATTATAATTGTTGTCGGCTCAAGTTTCTATCTATAATAATGGAATTTGTTTTTAGTAACTCATAAATTTGAGATTTCTTTAAAAATAAAAACTAAAAATGATTACACAATAGTATATTCCTTTATTATATATTAGTGAGATTCAACGGTTCGTGTCTTTATATATTCTATTTAAATAAAAAGTGGTGTAACTCACTTATTAAATTAACTTATCTATTGTGATAATTTATTTATTTTATTAAATTTAGTATTTATAATTAATTTTATTATTATCCATTGAAGTGTATAGAAATTTGTGCAAATTTTCTCTCACTTGATTAATCTAAGGATTATATTTTAACCCTCTCATCTCTCATAATAAATTTCCTCTCACTTGATATGCTATATATATATATATATATATGTTAGTAATATAATAATCATGTTTATACTTTGAGGTTTCATTTGCCAGTATATCAATAATAATTACACTTTTTACTCATTTCGTTATAACATCAGTATTTTTTTAGGCTAAAAACCTATTTTGGTCCCTTATAATAATTGTTTGTTTCAATTTAGTCCCACTTTGATTTTTGGTCTCAATTTGGTTCCTAATAAATTAATTGGTTTCAATGTCGGATTTTCGTCTAAATTATTTAAACGGAGTTAATTGTTGGTCACGTGGATGCACAGGTGGATGCCAAATTCCTTGAAAACACCTGGAACCAGAATGCCCTCGTTCTAGCCGTTATGGGTGCACACTTGGTGTGTTAATTTTGCATCTGAAACGGGCCGTTCCAGATGCAAAATTAACTCACCACGAGTACAAAAGAACAGCCCGTTCCAGAACTATAATAATTTTGAAAATATTTTTTTATGATAAAAATTTTAAAATTACTTATATTTATAAAATACAATTATATTATAAATAGAGTGATAATTTTTCCTTTTTCTCTTTCTGTCTGAAGAAATATTTAAGTGTCACTTAATAATTTTTTGCAACTTATTTAAAATTAGAGGAATAAAATGATAAAAATTAATAGGATAAACATAATAAAATTATTAATTTGTTTTCTTTTAGTGTCCTCTAAATTTTTACACTCATTTAAAACAAAAATATTTTATATGTTATTTTGAATTAATTTAATGAAGTATCATATGATTTTTAATTTTTTAAAATTTTTTATAAATTTGATCTATATATGAAAAGCTTTTTAATTTAACAATTAAATTTTTAAAAATTTGATATAGAACATTAATTATTAAGTAAAATAAATCTATCAAGACTTAATCTTGAAGTAAGTAAATTTTTTCTTCATTAAAAATGAAGATAATTTTACCACAAAATAAAAAATAATTAAACAATAAAATAAAATATAAAAAAATATATTAATGTATTTATTATATTAGATATAAAAAGATAATTAAAAGATAATTAATAATATATATTTTATAAAATTATTAATATTTTATATATAAAAAAAGAATGAAAAATTTTTTAGTAGGTGCAAGTGCCTCCACTATGATTAATTTAGATTCGTCCCTACATGTGGTTGTATGGAGAAATGTAGGGGTGTGCAAAAAATCCAAATTGATCCGAACCAATCCATAACCGATCAGATCCATATTGAAAAATTCGATCCATTTTGAAAAAAAATTCGAACTGAACCACTTTATAAAATCGGTTCAGTTATCCGATCCATTTTTACAAAGTGGATCGGTTCGGTTCGGTTTGGTTTTCTAAAAAAATCGATCCATGTATGAGTAAAAAAGTAGATAACTGCACCGTACCGAACCGATTAATTTCAAAAAAACGATCCATATTTTAAAAAAACCAAACCGATCCACCTTTATAAAACAGTTTGGTTCGGTTTGGATCGATTTTTTGAAAAAACCGATCCATGAACACCCCTAGTGAAATATTAGTCCTGTGTATCCTCTTCCTTTACTTCAGGTTCTACCTCTTCAAGAATAGGTTGTTGTTGTTGGGGTACATCATTAATGACTTCAAGAAAAAATATCATGTCATTTCATCCTTTACAATATAGTGTCAATTTGGTAGTAAGTGATTCACTCCAGTTTGACTAACAATGAAATAAAATCTGTTACCATTATCTTTATTTTTAGTGATACACTGCATTGTCATTAATGATACACTGTATAGCCCAACTGTTTAGCAATTGAAGTTATCAATTTTTATTGACAATATTACCAAATCCAGTGTTTGAAATGTTTTGTACCTTGGGTCTTTTTCCTTTCACGATTTACAACCGTGAAGTATAATCATTGATAGTTTATCTTTAATAGTCTAGAACCAGAACGGCCCGTTCTGAAACCAGAATGACCAGTTCTGGTTGCACTTTTAGTGTGTTAATTTTACACTTAGAACAGGCCGTTCTGGATGCAAAATTAACACATCAAGAGTGCACCCAGAATGACCCATTCTGGTTTCAGAATGGGGCGTTCTGATTTCAGGTGTTTTCAAAAAAATTGGCATCCACGTGACATCCATTTATGCATCTACGTGGCCAACAGTTAATTCCGTTTAAATAATTTAAACAGGAGTCTTACATTACAACTAATTAATTTATTAAAGACCAAATTGAGATAAAAAATAAAAATGAGACTAAATTAAAATAAATAATTATTATAAAGGACCAAAATAAATTTTTAACTTTTTTTTTTTTTATAAATAAAGCATATGTGAATTCATAGTAACATATTAATATAAACATAATATCTGTCTATGTTCCTTTTCACTGCACATGCAAAACTTCCTCTCCTCCCTTCGTAATACGTTTGTCTCAAGGCACCGCCTTCCATCTTCTCTAAACACCAGAAACCACTATCAACGGGAGAAAGAACCACCGTCTCCACCATTTCATTACTTAGGGTGTCTACAATCGGCGTAATATATGTCTATGTAGCAAAGTATTGTTTTTAAAACTTGACCTTATATCTATCTATGCCCATTTTCACTGGGCAGCTTCCTCTCCTTCTTTCGTAATACATTTCTATCAAGTCAGTGCCTTCCATCTTCTCTAAGCACCGGAAACCACCGTCAACAGGAGAAAGAACCACCATTTTCTCCGTACCTCAACCATCGTAGCGAGTTTGGAATCCAGTCTATTCCAGTCCACTCCATTGGCAACACCACGAACACTCACATCTTCATCCTCCGACCACCACTCCTCTCAAGACCTCGCCGTCCTTCTCGAAGTCGAAGGGTCAGTCATTCCATTCTCCACTCTCAGCGCTCCGCGATTCTCTCTTCATATTCCGCTTCTCGCGTTCATTAACTCTTTTCTATTGCTATTTTAGGGTTCTCATGGATTCGCACCGCGTCGGAAAGTGTCTCGCCTTCGATAAAGGTATTGTGGCTGATTCCGCATCCATCGTCTACGTTTTTGTGATTCCATGTAATGCGCTGTAATTTTTCTCCTGTGTCCATAGCGTTCGAGAAGCTCGGGCTCGATTGCGCGAACTGGAGTGAACTGGAGTGATCTTTCCAAGTGTGTTTGTTTTTTTTGTTTAGTTAGAGTCTTCTCTTGCTTATCTGTATATGTGTGGTTGAATTGACTTTGCTGCACTTGGCTTTGGTTTCGAGTTAATTGTTGCATTGAATTTTGTAGTGTCTTCACTATTGAGTGTTGCAAGTTATTGTCGGTGCATGACTACGTTGCTTATAAACCTTTTTATAATGACGTTGTAGGAGAAGTGCTGGAGATGAGGAAAAAATGGTATTTCTGTATTTTAATCGGGTAAGTTGTTCGTCTTTTGTCTGTGCTTGGAAATAAAAACAAAAAAAGAAAAGGAAAAATAAATAGGCAAGGTTGTTATTAACTTTCAGTAGTTTTCTGCATTGCCAACATTAGTTAAGCCATATTCTTTTGTTGTTGTTGTTGTCTCTAATAAGCAGATTGGGTGGCCTTCTTCGTTACCTACAAATGAGAAGGGACTGTTTGCAAAAAGAGTTTTGCAGCAAAAGATTTTGTCCTTACTCTTGATCTTGATGAATGGTATAGTACTAATAATCAGTGTGCTTTTTTACTTTGTTGTACAAGGAATGCTAGGTATATTAAATGCAATTAGTTAACTAGGACTGTGTTGTTGATGACAACATAGAGTTGTGCTGAAACTGTCCTGATTCCGGTGAATTTATAATGAAAGATCTGGTGGCAACAACTTAAGATAATAATACATGATGACAAATGTTAACAAACAACTAAAACAAAAAATCACCCATCATCAATCCGCTATTCAGACTCCACAATCAACAAACCCTTTACCTCAAATCTCCGCCTCACGGAAAGTAAAATACCGACCAATAATGCATAATGCCTTTGTCATTTGCAAAACACTTCGTTCTTTACAACCCATTTATTTAGATCTAAAAAATCACTCAAACGGATGTTCACAGGGGTTGCTAACTGCGACAAACAAAACACCATCACCGTCAACCGCCCTACTTCAACCATGTCACTCAAACGGATGTTCAAAGGGGTTGCGGACTGCGACAAACAAAACACCACCACCGTCAGCCGCCCTACTTCAACCATGGTTGCCAACAAACTACCCAGACAATCGTAACACCCCCACCTGCTAAATGAAACCCTAAACACAATACAAAATGTCCCTCAATAAAAAAATTTCAAGGGACTACTCTGCAATTGTTAAAACTTACTCATTAAATTAAATCTCAACCGTTTACTTTTCTTAACACTTAATCTACGGTCATTATTCATTCACCACCCATGCACCACTTCTTTAAATGGTCCGTCAGAGAATTTACCATATTTAACACAACAACCGTAACAATAATAATAGTCGGGAAGATAATAATAATAATTATTATTTTGTAGATAAGTGTTATGATAAAATTTCAATTTTATCTATTAATTATGTTTACTATAATTTAAAGAATATTGTTTAACATTTTGACGTTGTTGTTAGAAATTTTTAAATTTACAATAATTATAAAAATATTTTATATATTAATTAAAATTTATATAATAAATTATTAAATAATTTTAATTTTTTTTTATAAATTTAATTTATACATTAAAATTTTTTAATTTAATTGTTGAATAGTTGAAATTTGATATAAGATGAGTAAAATAAGTTTAAATAAATTCATTATTGTAATAAGTGGATTCCTTACTCTATGTGCATATTAAAAAATTTATGTATCCGTGTATTTAACTTATGTCATACATCTTTAAAAATTGTAATCAAAAAAATATTTATTATTTTTAAATCAAGTTTCACAATTTTTAATGTTTTTATTTCTATTTAAGACACGTGTTAAATTTGTATTAGTATGTGCTAGATAATTTTTTTTGCAAAAAAAAATATCATTTTAATGAACTTTTAATAAAATCAATAAATGAATATTCATTTTTAGTGCTATGAGTTAAAAAGATCATAATTTTGAATTTATTATTCAAATTTAAGAACATGAAAGATAATATATTAATACATAGAAAACTAATATAACTTTAGATATGTGAAGAAAAAAATATTAATTACATGAACAATAAAATCAATTATTGTAAAAAAAATTGAGTTAATTTTACTTTTCTATTGTTATTTATTATATTTTTTTAATTAATTTTTATAATATTAAATATGTTTTACAAATTCATATTTTTCTTTGAAATTTATAAAATTCTTTAAAATCTTATGATATTTATAAAAACATGTTAAAATCTTTCAAAATTCAAATTATAAAGTCTTCATTAAAATTTATATTTTTAAAGTTTTTTTTAAAATAATTTTATAAATTATAACATTCCTTAAAAATTTTATAAAATTTATTAAAATTTAAGAAATTTTTTGGATACTAAGATAGTTTTTGGAGATCCTAATTGAATGCACTCCCTAATGATCGACAATAATGTATGTATAGTAAATGGGTTTGAAAAAATATCATAATGAGATTGGAATCCAGTCTATAGTCCAGTCCACTCCATGGCAACGCCACGAACACTCGCATCTTCCATTCTTCATTCCCATATACTGTCATGCTGCATTCGCTTTCCCTCCACTTTCTGCAACTTCGCATTTTTTCCTTCCAACATTTCCGCTAAATCTTCTCCGCGCCTCGCCGTCTTCGCTTCATCCTCCGATCACTACTCCTCTCAAAACCTCGCCGTCCTTCTCGAAGTCGACGAGTCAGTCATTCCGTTTTCCAATCTCGCTGCGCTCCGCGATTCTCTCTTCATATTCCGCTTTTCGCGTTCATTAACTCTTTTCTGTTGCTATTTTAGGGTTCTCATGGATTCGCACCGTGTCGGAAAGCGTCTCGCCTTCAATAAAGGTATTGTGGCCGATTCCGCATCCATCTTCTACGTTTTTGTGATTCCATGTAATGCGCTGTAATTTTTCTCCTGTGTCCGCAGCGTTCGAGAAGCTCGGGCTCGATTGCGCGAACTGGAGTGAACCTGTCTATTCCGATCTTTCCAAGTGTGTTTGTTTTTTTTTTGTTTAGTTAGAGTCTTCCCTTGCTTATGTGTGTATGTGTGGTTGAATTGACTTTGCTGCACTTGGCTTTGATTTCGAGTTAATTGTTGCATTGAATTTTTTAGTGTCTTCACTATTGAGTGTTGCAAGTTATTGTCATTTGTCAGTGCATGACTACGTTGCTTATAAACCTTTTTATAATGACGTTGTAGGAGAAGTGCTGGAGATGAGGAAAAAATGGTATTTCTGTATTTTAATCGGGTAAGTTGTTCGTCTTTTGTCTGTGCTTGGAATTAAAAACAAAAAAAGAAAAGGAAAAAAAAAAATAGGCAAGGTTGTTATTAACTTTCAGTAGTTTTCTGCATTGCCAACGTTAGTTAAGCCATATTCTTTTGTTGTTGTTGTTGTTGTCTCTAATAAGCAGATTGGGTGGCCTTCTTCGTTACCTACAAATGAGAAGGGACTGTTTGCGAAAAGAGTTTTGCAGCAAAAGGTTTTGTCCTTACTCTTGATCTTGATGAATGGTATAGTACTGATAATTAGTGTGTTTTTTTACTTTGTTGTACGAGGAATGCTAGGTGTATTAAATGCAATTAGTTAACTAGGACTGTGTTGTTGATGACAACATAGGGTTGTGCTGAAACTGTCCTGATTCTGGTGAATTTATAATGAAAGATCTGGTGTGCCTCTCTAATTAAATACTAAAATTCAGAAGACCAGAACACATCTTGTAGAGGAGCTTTTTTGCCTTCCTATTTCAAGCATTTATAAGAATAGTAAATTAACTGTTGTTTTGTATTAATACAGAAAAATTTTACAGCCACAATGCTGACAAATATGATAGAAATAGATATAATATTATTAATTGTTTCACAATTTAAATTTTAAACCAATTCTTAACTGTGACGACAAGTGATTAGAAAATATCAAATTTATAGGTTTGCTTTGAAGCCTCTACGTGGAAAAAGGAGCAACATTTGAAATTGAAATTATTGGGAAGTCTTAGAAATGAAGAAAGCAACAAAAACAGCAACCTAATCCTAACTCCCCCTATATTCTTCTCAAGCAAGCTTTCCATGGAGAAAGGTGTTTTCTTATGTCAAACTGATTGAGTGGCCAAAGAGAGAAAAAAGCCAACAAAGGCAGTCTTGGCCATAAGGGAGACTGGTTAGTGTTGGGACCATTAATTTGGCTTATTAGAACCAACCTCAATGGCATAACAAAACTTGTGGCAATTCATAATTCAGATCAACTTCTTAATTTGAAAACCAAACAGCTCCATATTTTTTACGACAGAGTCAAATAAAATTCGGAATAAATTGATACCTATAATTTGAAAACCTTATTGGTATAGGCCTATAGGGAGGCTTTTGATTAGCCATCTCACTTTCACCTTAAATTTCTTGATGAATCCAAATTTTGAGGGGAGAACAACAGATTGAAGGGCTCTGATTTTGGATTCTTTTGGGTACTTGTATCGGAATTTACTTAGTATTGAATTAGTAACTAGTATCAAGTAAAATTGGCACTCAGTGTTCTAGGAAATGCTTTATTCTTATTTAATATTCTTGGGGAATTTGGGAATTGGGATAGTATGCAAAAGGTCTTAGATTCAAATCCTAGTGTCGTCATTGTAATTCTGATGGATAAAACAAATATTCTTGCAAATCTCTTATTGTATTTAATTCTTTAATAATGTACATATAACCCTAAGTATGCTTTATGTAATCTACCCATGCAGTTTGACAAATGTGACAAATTTTATAAGTCTCTTAATCTCTTCAAGAACATGTAAATTTTCCTTTTGTCTCCTTGATGTCTTATATTATATCTATAAGAAATGTTTGCTGTCTAATAGCCAATTTGGATAGCTTATTTTGGGACCAAAAAAACTTTCGATCAAAAGATTTGTGAACTTTTGACAAAAAAAAATAAAATTATTTTCCCAATATAATTTATTTATTCATATACATTTTACAGTTTGTTCTCTGAATAAGATTTCTTTTTCCAGTGTTTACGTGGTTTTGAGTATGAGGATTTTCGCAAACCTATCACTTGGCAAGTGAACCAAGTTTCGAAGTAGTATTTAAAGATCGTCCTCAGGGATTTGAGTGATTAGTAATTCTTACTCTAATGATTTATAAGAAAATGATGTTCAATTTGCGGATGAATGATGATAAATTAAAACAATACAGTAAAACAAACGTAGTAAGGATGATGATTAAGAAACAAGGATTGGTTCGGAAGCACTTGCTAACTCATAGATCTTCTTAAAATAAATGCTATTCTAATTCCATTATTTCCACGTTCATTAAGTAATCCAACAAGATTCCTCAAGGTTGAATCCTAAAGTCATTAAGCTCAAAACATGATTCCTCTATGTTTTGAGTTCAACACTTCGCATTAAGAACAAGAACTTGAACAATGTGACTAACCAAATCAAGTCTATCCCTAGAACAAGAATTGATTAGGTGCAAGATTCAGTTCGGGTTTTCAAAAACGTTTTCCAACTGGATTCAAAAACCAAAAATTCATACAACGGGTGATCAAGCCGATATAAGCATTAAGTAAAGAATCATACACAAATAATGAGATTAAAATGCATATATTTAAGAAGAAGAAGAGTTAATAGTTACATCCAACCAATCCTCAATGAAATTAGCCACTCATGGCCATTACAAATTCTGCAGCAAATTCCATAAGAGAGTACAAAGTTGCAGATCAAAAACAGAGGTTCAGGACTCCTCCTACGTGACTCCCTAGCTGCAGCCCCCAATCAGTTAGTTTTTTTCAGCTGTAGTCTCCAATCAATGTATATACAGCTGTTTTTGCATTATTGGTTCAATTAGTGGTTTTTCCACTAATGATTTTCCCCTTTTTCCTTGTTTGTTTCTCCTTAATTTAAGGCTCCTTGTCTCTCTTTTTAATTGAGTGCTCATGTGCTTCTTGTTTCTTTCCTTAATTTTGTACCCCACTGTTTCTCTCTTTTCCTTTGTTTATATCAGCTTTAAAATAGGGGCAGAAAAGTGATTTTTATCTCCACAGCTACAGCTGTAGATTCACAGCTATAGCTCCAACTTTCTGGACCCTTTTCAGACTTCCACAGCTCGAGCTCCAGATTCACAGCTCGAGCTTCAGCTTTCCAGATTTCCACAGCTCGAGCCCCAGATTCACAGCTCGAGCTCCAGATTCACAGCTCGAGCTCCAGATCTACAGCTATAGCTTCAAGTCTCTGGAACTTCACAATTTCTCCCCAAATTTTCACAGCTCGAGCTCCAGATCCACAGCTATAGCTGTGGATTTCTGCCTAGCCAAAAAATTCTGCAAAAATATGAGGAAATTCCTTAAAATTGCTACTACTCCTCTACTCTTATAATATAACTTAATTATTTAAATAAAAAGAGTGAAATAACATACATATTATCTCTAATTACCCAAAAAGAGTGCCAAAAGTTGAGTGCAAAACAAGCCTAAAAATGCACTCAACAGAGTCCATGGATGCTTTAAATGAGAATTATCATATCTAGAGGAGAGAATTATATGCTGCTTTTTCGTTGGTTTTTTAAGATTTAATAGAATAACTTAACCTCATTTTTTCTACTCCGAAAACAAAAGTAAAAAAGAAAGTATAGACAGAAAAATAATTGCGCTTGGAGGGGGATATCTACTGGTTTCGCAAAATTTGGCACTTTGATATTTAATTCCTAAGGAATTAGATTCTATAACCTAGTAGGCTGAAAACCTTTCCCCAAATCATTTTTCAGTTTACTCATATTGAGAAGACGATGAGGATTTGTGGAGAATCCTGTTAAACTCTTTATCTTATATTGGCAGGAAAAGGCATTAGAAGAGTTTGTGATGTCAAAAAGTCTGCCTTTACGACCTGGCCTTGATCAGTGAGTTATTTCATATTTTTTTGAATATGATTGAATGTTTCATATGTGTTTTATTTATGGGGAGCTATCTTTTAATACAGCTATATTTTATGGTACAGTTAAGGGGAACCGGATGTACATTAGTTAAGGCAAGCAATATCTTTAAAATTAAATATTCCTCTTAAGTTATCGTACCTAGTCATTCTTTCACATTGTAAGTCTGAGTCACTTAGTCATTTTAGTGGATTTTTATCACAGATAATAGAGTAATTTTGACACTATTTGGTTTTTCTTTGTTATCTTCTTGTCAATAGCAATTTTTTTTCTTCATGATATAAGCTGTATTTGTATTTCTGTTGGGTTGGGCCACGTTGAATGTGAATACATAGTGAGACTAGAGTTCCTGTTCAATGTGCTTTGGAAAGTGGGAATCCCCTAAAACAAACATACTGTTAAACATTCAGAGTGAGTATTTTATTAATTGAAAGTTCTACACCCAAGAATAAATAAGCATAATTTTGGTCTAGGTATTTTCCCGTAGAATTTTTGGTATCTACTGGTTATAAGTAATTTTGTTTTGCAACAAAATTGATATACTGCCACAATAAGTTAAAGCTCATTGTGCAAGTCCCTAGATGTGTATATTTTATGCTTATTTTCCTTCTTTTCTTGATCGCAGTTGGTCTACTGTTCAGTTTTGGAAAGATTTCAGTTTACAGAAGTCCCATTTTAAAATGTTTCTCCTTATTTACATTGCCTCTTAATGTTGTGCTGTACTCTGATTGCTTATATTAGCTCTCTTAAACGTTCAAATGTTACCAGAATGTTTAATAAATTTAGGAACTTGGATGATTATGGAACTTTAATTTGTTTAAATTCCTTAACGTATAGTAATGTCTCCATTGACAGATTTATTGACGATGCCTATAATGAAGGAATTCCAGTGGTAATATTAACAGCCTACAGTAAAAGTGGTGATAATGTTTCCGGGTAATTCTATTTAGCTCCAAAATTTTGCAATGGTACCAAGTTACTAAGTAAAATAATATTATGATTATTGATGTAATATGATTTTGTGGTCTTGAGATGTTCTGGATCACTCAGAAGCTCAGCTTGCTGATTTATTTACAAAATCTTTTAGGTGCTGTAAGGGATTGGGGTGCTTATTTCATTTGGCAGTAATTTAGAATGTCAGATTTACTCTCGAGCTTTAATTTTTAAGAGCCCTATTAGCACTTCAGGTGATCCTATTTGTAGAATACTTGGGGACGGTATGATAGTATTTTTAAATTCATACTGGTTATGGCCTAAGGCATGTAATTAGTACACCTTTCCATTCAATCGTTTTATTCTCTCTCTCTCTCTCTCTCTCAGTTTTTCCTTATAGAATTATAGAAAATAATCTTCATTTGAGGACTGAACTTAGAGTGAAGTTGCATGTATGATTGCAAATTCAAAGGTGAAAATTAGCATTCTGTTTTGGTATAGGGGATATTCTTATATTAGCTATATCTATATAAAAATTTCAATATTTGAGGAGCACTGAGGTTCACAATCTACTAACTCAATCCTTGCTCTTTGCTTGTGTAGCTTTCGCTTTTTTACTTCCTAGGTATAATGAGCACACTAATATCTCCTCCTTTTTTACTTGTGCTTATTAAACTTATAGGACCATAATGGAAAAGCTTGGCAACGATCGAAGTATAAAGGTCATTATTGTAGGGAATAAAGAGGTTGAGCAAAGTTTATATGGACAACTAGTCTCAGGAAAGGTAATTGCTTCTGATTTGGATGATGAGCTTGCCAAGGAAGCCAAAAGAGCTGGTATATACTCAAGTCGTTGATTATGTATGTGCCCCTCATTGCAAGCATTTTCAGTGCACAATTCTCTTTGCTAAGGGGCTTTCACTTCTGCCATTTTTGCCAGTTTCTGCTGAGAGACAAAGGTTAGCAAAGGAGGTAGCATCCATGCTAAAATTGAGCGTTGAGATTGATACCAGCTCATCTGAAAGGTTAGTTCATTTATCCCCAATAATTTTCACTAAAAATAAAATAAATATCTTGAACTTTAAAATTATCATTTGAAATTGAAACCTTAATATTATCATTTGTCAAATTATGATTGATTTGGATTTTAATTGCAGTAAAATATGTTTTTGGGCTCTCAAAAAATTTCTCAAGTTCAGTTTTTGTTCCTCCAAAAATTTTTATTCTATTTTGGTCCTCAGTGATCTAGATAGCACTTTATAACCATTTTTAAGCCTATTTAAGCCATTTTGAGGACTAAATTGTGCATTTTCATATTAGAAGGACCAAAATAGAACAAAAAAAATTGAAGGGACTAAAATCAAATTTAAAATATTTTAGATGGACTAAACATATTTTTCCCTTAAATATTAGTATGTCAATTTTCATTAATTTGTTGATTGTCTATCCAGGCTAGCTAAGATTGTGGCTGCACTACGTGCGGGAGCTGAATATGCAGGGTTACCTGTCTGCAACTGTGTCCTTGTTGCAGGAAGCCAATATGGCGTAGCTGGAGCTACACAGGTGGCCATGCCATGTGTCGTTTTACGAAGCAGGTGACTTGCTTTGCTCTTGGAAGTTCAACGAACATGTGATGGATGTTTTACACTGTTGCATGCTTTAATCGAATGTTTCTTGGCAATAGAATTCTTATTGTTTTTAAGTTGGTGTATCTGGAGCTGTTTCTTATATTTAATTGTTTACTGCAGTTTGACATCTAGAGCCGAATTTCCTTTGGCAAACGCTACAATGGATGGATTTGGAGGTGCTGATCTAACAATTTCTAAATTACGTAATCTATGCCGGAAGAACAACCAAAGGACTGAATGGTAATTTTTCTTGGCTTCAATTCCATCTCTTTTCAAGAGAAAATGTTCGTATACACATGAATCAAAGTTGTGATGATGCCAGAAAGTTTTGCATTGTAATTTTCCTGTGCAGAGTTCTATATAAAGTTACAGTTACCAAAAAAATAGCAATAAACACAAAATAATCACGCTCTGGATTTGAAGCTTTTTGTTGGCAAGCAAAGGGACTTTTAAGATAGGTAACTTACGATATAAAATGTTTGCTGGTTTGTTGATGTTTGTTGCTTCATGTTAGGAAAGCGCAAATGTAGAACAAAATATACTGATACTTGTGGTTTTTGCTTTTGTAATTGCATGATCTGTCATCTCTCTCCCAGCAGCGTATGGAAAGACTATTCTTGGTAGTGATGGCTGAGGAGAAGCTCTAACTGCAGTTACTGGGTAATATAATTGTAATTCGTTTACTGTAGTATTTATATCTGAATGGAAGTGTAGATAAAGATGATAATGTTTTTCTTTTCTTGAAAGAAGCACCTTGGTGAGTTAGAAATGCCCCGTGCGGTGGGACTGTGTTAGTGGTCGAGTCGTTTTTGGTAATTCATAGTATATGTTTGGTTACATGTCTCAAAGGATTGGATCTACATCGAAATGAATCAGTGACTTGTACGTTTTCTTTAAATCTGGACGTGGGAAATGCCCATGCTATTGACACCTTTTCTTTGATCTTCGCACTGCGCCCCTATTTTTTGACAAAAACACCCTTCATGAAAATTAGTTTATGTTGTATTTGATTACACAATGGAAATTAGTTTCCGTCATCGTTCATCCTTTCTGTTGCCACCCTACTACCATCACCCATTTACATGCGTTGAAAACCCAAGGCTAAACACACATTGTGTAGTACCTTAGTTATTTCACTATTGATCTTCCTCCAATTCTATGGTCTTGTAATATAACTATTAAAGCTATAAAAAAAAATAGCAATCAAGTTCCCATTTTAATTTTAAAATGTTTACTAGAAGTCTAGAGCATGCATTTTAACATTTATTCAACTATTTGATTATATAAATTAAAACTACTTTATTATATTATTTACAATTAGGTATATAAATATGAATATTATGGTTATAACAATATAATTAATTTTAAAATGACAATTTTTATAATTTAAATTTAAATAAATGTTTTAACTTAAATTTGAAGATAACAAAATTTCGTTTTAAAAGTTTACAAAAATCTTATAAAACTAATTAGAATTAAAAGAGTTATAATCTCTCTAAAATGTTAATTAAGAGATTAGATAAAGTGATGGTCTTCATTTAGTAGAGTATTAAAATATATATTATAAATAAAATGCATCTGTTCTAATGATTGAGAGGATCAAGTTCAATTTCTAATACAAAGATTGTAATATAGTTTTTAGACTATATCTTAACGTTAGTGGTAAGATAGTGAATAGGCCATGTACAAACCGCAAAAATAATTAAAAATGGACTAGATCAGTTTTGGTATTCTTGCATATGTCAATACTTTAACGTCTGCATGTTGGAAGAAAAGCAAACGCGGTCGTGGGAAAACAGTAAATGAATTTTCAGCAGAAAAGGCTCAACAATTTAACGCGTGCATAAAGCGATGATTAAAGATCATGGATACTTATGAAAGTTGCTAAAATTTAACGAAAAACTAGTTTATAATATTGTTATTCCGTCACTACTGGAGTGAGATAATGTTTAGTTGTAGAACCCAAATAGGGGTCCTTCATATAATCGGATAATTTACACGTTATATAAAGAAGAAAAGTAAAATATAGATATAGAAAAAGTACAAAACTGATCTGGGAAGTCACCCTAACTGGTGCATGTCTATTCTGATGCCAACCGTCTTTAAATCAAATTGTCATGAAAATTCAGCTTCTGGAACGTTTGTTCTTCGCCTCTGAGACAAGTTTGTGGTTGAGTATTCATCATCGTCCACAGATGAGCCAACACTTGATGATACTGAATCAGGTCTGTGCACTTGATTTCTGAATATCTGAGATGCTGACCCTTGGGATTCTGCAGGTGTTGGATTCCCCTGAGCTTCTTCAGCAAGACGTTTAATAAGGTTCATAACCGTGGGAAGAAACCTTGATGAAATGGATATTAGTCCAGGCAGCTGCAAACAAAATATCCACATGGCATGATTGTAGGAGTCATTCACTTGGGCAGACAAAAACCATCACAAGATCTTAACAACAATCCAGACGCAGGGAAAAGATGAGTAAAAGAAAAAATCCACTAATACTCACAGCGCCATGTCGAAATTCTCCAGCTATGTCCATTTGTACCCATATGGCCTTTCCGATTAGATAAGCAACAAATATAAACATCAGGTAGAGAGGATTTCTGTTTCACATACAAGTCAGCAAATGTAGTTAATAAACTCTGGAATAAGGGTCCAATGAAAATAATAAATAATTCGAAGTTAAAGATTTTAGAAAGTGATATTTACTTTAGAAGCATCATAAATTCATTAAAACCAAGTATGACCATTGCCATTATTGCCCATGGAGGAGGTAACCAATTGTTACTCCGCTTGTAGGCCTCCTGAATCCACAACAAAAAAGAAAAGGAAATAGTAGCCTTGTTAGTATGCCTGGAGTTAGATAAGTGTCAAGACAAAGATAAAGGAAAAGAATGACATTTTCATAGATTCTGCAGCTAGATAAACTAAAAAGACCAAAAATAGAGGCAAAAAAGACGGCATTGAAAATCTTGGAGCAAATACCATTCTCAAAAATCCTAGCAAGAAGTAATATCGCCAAACAGGTTTGGATAACAGAATAAGTAGACAGGAATATAATATAATATAGTTTTACCTGAGCTGAAATAGCTTGCGTAACTGTATACTCTGTTTCTCCCTGGAATTGTCTCCACAAAGCCTTGCACTGAACTGGAGTGATAAGCATATCTTCTGGAGAAACCTACATTTTATATAGATTCTCAAATATAATATGCTTTTACTACAACAATAATAGAGGGGCTCAGGAACCACAAATATCACAGTATACTACCTCCTCCCATGTGCTTGAAGCCAATGGATCCACAGAAGCTTCCCTATCACTTATATATTGTGAAGATGTTGCAGCACTAGTTTTATCTATCAGAGATGATTGAAGTACATTTTCAATGCGGTCTGGCTTCTCATCCAAACGTATAGCAGCCATATCTGATAGAAGCTTCAGTGACTGATACATGACAGCAGAAGTTATTTTACATGGTGCTAAAAACAGGAGTAATTTTCAATATACGTATAACATAAAACTTTATCATTGAACTTGCTATCAATTACCGCAGAGCGAGCATCTCTTGTAATAGCTCTAATATCTTCCTTCCCAGTCCAAACTCTAGGCAGTGAATCATTATCATGATTGAAGACTGTGGAGAACCTGAAAGTTATTACAGAAAGTCAGAAACCAGTATGCCATTAACTAATCCGGAAATTGAACATCTATCTGGAATAGTTCATTTTATCTCATCATAACAGAATAAAATGTATAAATACACTAGTGTGCATCCTCCAAAACAAAAACAATGGAAACAACAACAAATTTTCCTACTAGAAAGGGACACAGGGTCAGCTACATGGAACAAAAAATGTCATAACGTTCTATTGCAAACCATGTTTACAGACAAAATATTGACCTTTAAATCTTTCTTAATGCTTTTGCCTATATTTTGTGACAGGCTGAGACTCCCTTTACCTCAAGCAATTGGTCTGCCTTCAATGTAATTTACTCTCCCTATTGGAGCTTCTACAAGTTCTCTTCACATATCCCCAAAACCACCAACAGTTAGTTTCTACCATAGGTTCTACCACAATTTTTCAATTTTCTATAATATATTCATTATCAATCAATTCAATCTTATCCACTTTAACATGTCCACTTACCAATGAAACATTTTCATCTCTACTAGAGTTTTTTCTCTTGTCCTTTTACAGCTCAACATTCAGTTCCATATAACGTTGCAGGCTATGCAATGAAATTTCCATTAAGCTTAAGTGATACCTTTCTGTCACAAATATAAAACTTGAAGCACTCCTCCATTTTATCCATCCCACTTAACCCTATGGAAACAACTAACAACCATAATAATAACCGAGCCTTATCACATTTGGTGGGATCAGCTACACGAATCAAATGACACTGGGCTCTATCAAAAATGAAAATTTCAATCAAATGATGACATTGGCTCTATCAAAAATGAGAATTTTAGTAAAGCCCTTGAAAGCATGGTCTTGTTTTAACAGTTTCTCCAAGTGCATTCTTATGCCTTTTGCTACTTTAGAGTTTAGATCAAATAAATGTAAATTTTTTGTCTCTCTGCATGTCTAATAAAGGAAAGCTTGCCAAGTATACAATGACAGAACATAGTTAAAATACCGAAACAAGTAGGTGTCATGACAGTAACAGACAGAAACCTCAGTGTGAAACTCTGGCATTCTACCCAAACCAAAGAAATCAATGAATACAAAAGAAGCAGAGCATCATGTCTTGTTTCAATCCTTACAACTACCAAGTCCCACATAAATAGCCAATCAACTTTTATACACATTTTACAATACAAAACGAAATTTCGCAAACAAATGACCAGATATCTTTAAATGGAATTACCTATCTTTCATGCGTATCAGAATCTTTCCAGCTTCTTCTCGAGCTTTATTTTCCACCAACTTTCTTGCATAGTCCCTTAAGCTTTGTTGCATTTTTTCAACTGTTTCTTCATCCAGCTCAAAACCAGCAATCGAAACAGAAAATTCTGATAAAGCAGCTTCAGTCTCACGCTTGAGTAGTTCTCTTATTGAAAGCCAGGTGTCCTTTCCACCTGCTTCAAAGAGAGACTCCACAGGTGCAGTCAATGCCTTGGCCAATTTTTTCTGCATAAAATACTTCTACTTTAGTATCTGATAGAAATAACAGGCATTCAAAAAACACTACCCAGCTTAACCAATTAACAACTTTTATAGTGATGACAATATTACCTCAAAATTAGTTGTTATCTCCAATAATTTTGCACCACGCACAGATGATGCATGTGAATCAATATCACGGCGAAGTTTGTCTCGCACTTTTGAAGCACCCCAATTAGCATGTCTTACAGCAGCATCTGGAAAGTGCAATCAACAAAGAGGAGTGAGTGTTTTAGTGAGTATAAAAAAAACATTTACATGATGAGCAAAATGAAATAGTGATTTCACTTGAAGTAATTGAATACAGGAGAACAAGTGATTCTAAAGCAAGTAAACAGAAACTGCTGAATTTAAAGGGAGATAGGACGGAAGTTTCGAGTGAAATTGGTTGAATATGCTCTACTTAAGTAATGCAAAACATCGATATACGTAGACTCTTAGGGTTTATTTGACAGTCAAGATAAGAAGAGCAAGATAAACTTTAATCATATTTGATATTTGGTGCAAACGTTATTACACATTATGTCTTGTATTTGACATAGACCATGGTAGTTGAATCAGGATACAAATCGTGAGTTAGAAAGCCTATTTTCCAAATCGCGAATAGTGAATTGTATCATGAATTGTAAGATTCATGATCATTATAAATGAAAAATAATTTATACAATTAACAAAGACATATTAAAACACATTCATTATTAATAACTAAAAAACATAAGTCTAGGAGCATAAAATGCATGATTAATGGTAAAATTTGTTATAATAGAATAATATTAAAATTTATCATAAATATTTTGCAATTAGAATTATTTTATATTTTATATATTAAAATTTGTAATAAATATTCTGCTATTAGATTCATTTTATATTAAATTTATAATAAATATTCTGATATTAAATTAAGTATATATTAAAATTAATTAAATATTTGTTTATATCAAAAACTGTTATAGATTTTAGATTTTATTTACTATGTTTTATAATAGTTGTAGATTTTACAGATTTTATTTTCAGTGTTTAGATTTTATTTACTATGTTTAATAACAGTTACGGGTTCTTGAAGTTAAAAATTAGAATAAAGTAGGTTGTCAATTTCTATTGTTGATTTTAGATTTTATTTACTAAGTTTTATAATAGTTGTAGATTTTACAAATTTTATTTTCAGATTAGATTTTATTTACTATGTTTAATAATAGTTACGGGTTTTTGAAGTTAAAAATTAGAATAAAGTAGGTTGTCGATTTCTATTGTTTAGAGTAAGGGTTGTGTTGTGCGTGCACACCAAATACAAGCCCACAAAAAGCATAACCGTAGTGAGGTGCAATTTGCTTGCTTCGGCTGCCATTTTTCATGATTGTGACTGTGCACCACTCCACGAGCGATGGCCCTTGGAGTAGCAACGACACAGTGCAACCCACGTTGCCCAGAATCATGCAATTCATCATGAAATCACAATTTTCCAATTCCATACAATTTTCCAATTCCATCAGTGATTCGGAAGCGATTTGTGCACATTGCCCAGAATCATGCAATTCATCATGAAATCACAATTTTCCAATTCCATACAATTTTCCAATTCCATCAGTGATTCGGAAGCGATTTGTGCACAAAAATGTTACTACTTGTGACTCGTTTCATTGGGTTTGTGAACCACATTGTATTGTTTCGTTGGGTTTGTGAACCACATTGTATTAGACAATACATACAGTGTATGGTACAATACTAACTACCATGACATACACCAACTTGTATTTGACATAGACCAATAGAATATGATATAAATTATGTTCAAATGAAAAAAATTACTATTTTCTTAAAATTATATATAATTTTCTAAGAAGTAACTTTTAATTTAATTGTTTAAATTTTACAAATTATAAAAAATTGATTTAATGGTCATGCAGTTACTATCAATCAATCAAAACTTATCATTCTTGGTGGTTTAGACTGGTAGCCTATTTTCTAGGAAAATTATAATGTTAACTATATAATACAAATTTGTTTTTTTATTTATGTAGTTATTTTTCTTAAAATTATAATATATATATATATATATACAATATTTCAAAATTAGAATTAAGATTCAAATATTTTTCTCTGAAAACTATTTGTATAATAATTCTTTATTTTAATATTTTAATTAATAATATACTTTAAATTTACATGTCAAATGTATTATAATTATATATAATAATATATAGCTATATATTATATAAATTAATATATAGTATTATATATCTTATACCTATTATATATTTTTTTTATTTTGTATAATATAATATAATATA